TCATGCTATCCTAACTCAGGTCATGCTATCCTAACTCAGTAGGTCATACTATCCTAACTCAGTAGTAGGTTATGCTATCCTAACTCAGTAGGTCATACTATCCTAACTCAGTAGGTCATGCTATCCTGACTCTAGATCATACTGTCCTAACTCAGTAGATCAGGTTCACGCTTAGCTGCTATATTGAAGCCTGGTGGTTGCTCCCACTCAATGCTGTGGAGGAAGGTCTGCTCAGCAGCTCCTGTTAAGATGAAAACCCGACGATGAGTTCTACACCGTCACCTGGGAGGGCCATGAGTCGGAACCAGCTCAATGGCACCACCAACAACGCGATGTTGAACAGTTTTTGGCAGAGCTGTGAGCCTATAATAGGAAGAAAGGCCTGGCCATCTACCTCCAGAAACCAGCGGGTAAGAACCTAGGGGCCACAGTGGTCCAACTGACGCCTGATCCTGGACTGGCATAGGACTGGGCAGCATTTTGTTCTACTGTGCATGAGGGCACCACCAACTGGGGTCTGACTCAGCTGCCGCTAGTAACCCTAGAACCCCATAGTGCGTGCTGGAGCTGACTGAGTGGCTGAGCAATGGAGGTGGCAGAGGACAGCAAGGAAGGACAGGCAGCCATCTGGCACACTCCTCCACCAGGGACCGAGCTGGGCACCAGGACCCCATGAGGCTACAAACAAACCCTTCACCCTTGATTCCCACTGATAGCAACCCTGTGGATCAGAGGAGAATTGCCCCACAGGGTAAGTCTTGACGGGAGAACAGAGCCTCATACCTTCTTCCCAGAATGGCTGGTGGGTTTGAACCATCGGCCTTTCTGATAACAGCTGAGTGCTTTACCCACTGCACGACTACGGCTCCCCACCTCCCCCACCGCAAGGTTGTTGTGAAGTGCTGTTGAGTCGACTCTAATGCACAGTGGCCCTGTATAGGTTTCCGAGGAGCAGCTGGTGAGCCTGAACTACTGACCTTGCAGTTCAAAAGGCTTTGCAGTCTGACGCATTAGCCCACAGCGCCACACCAGATACTGTTATTTATTGAAATACTGGTAGACCTCAGAGATACCGTAGGTTCAGTCAAAGACAACCCCGTAAAGCAACTATCTCAAGGTGAGATACATGCATTTTGAGTCCCCCAATGCCTAGAGTGCTGGTGTGGCACTGTGGGCTAATATGCTGGACTGTAAAGTCATTTGAACCACATGGTCGGTGGTTCAAGTTCACCAGCCGCTCCTTAGAAACCCTATATAGGGTTGCTATGGGTGGGAACCGACTCCATGGCACTTAACAACAACAATGCTTAGAAACTCCTGGTGTGACGCTGTAGGATCAGCACTGGACAGCGAACCACAAAGTCAGCAGTTGAAACCCACCAGCCGCTCCTGGGAAGCCCTACACAGGGTCGCTGTAAGTCGGAATGACAAGTGCCTAGGAAAGGGTACTGACACTAGGCAGGTCCAGGGTGACCACCACGGGGACAGTGTGCACAATGTTAGGGTGACCACCACAGGCACAGCGAACACACACTGTTCACTAGACGCAGGGCTGCCACCAGCCTCCCGTTTGTGAGAGGCGCAGTAACCAGGAAGGACAGTGAGGGCTGCCCACAGGTGTAGGCAGTGGTGGGGGCGTGGCTCATACCAGCAAATAGCTCCGGTGGCACTGGGTAGAGTCCTCAGTGGTCAAGACCTCCGCCAACGCCTGGTACAGCTCGTCCAAGGGTTCCACGTGGACAGCCTCGTGCTGGGGATAGACAGGACGAGGCCTTCACTTGGGACTGTCGCCCATTCTGCAGGGTGGGTAAACTAGTCACAAGGACACTGGACAAGCTAAAAATTCCCATGGGTAGCGAAGCAGTTCACACATACGCTAAGGTGGGAACCGCTGAAGCCCAGGGCTGGGTGGGTGGTGGCAAGAGCTGGGGTTCCCAGGGTGCAGGACAGGGGCTGACACCACAGAGGCTGAATCAGCTGCACACCAGTTTCAAGAAAGCCCATGTGTGCAATGTGTCTGGAGACAGCAGATAGTTGGTTCTGGGTGTCCCACCAGGTACCCCGGGTGGTGACAGAAGCTGCCTTCACTGTTTATCTCATTTATTTAGTTTCAGCAGCTCAGTTTCCCATTCGACAATGCACACACTGTTTCATCTCATGGATGGCTGTTCCTCAATGTAACTCCACTCAGCCCTCTTCCTCCTTGCGTTCCCTCTTCCTCCTTCCGTTCCTCCTCTCCTAACCTTTCTGAACTCTTTCCCCGGGTAGCTGCTGCCTTTTTGATCTCGAATGGTGCACCACTCCCTGGAGTTACTGACCCCTTATCCACCTGTCTAGTTTGAGCCTTGGGAGCGAGTCCAGTTTGTCACTGACCTTCTTGATGAGCTCTGAGAGAAAGCAGCGTGTGAACTTTGCTGATGGGGGGTGCTCCACACACAGGGGGTGCTTCACAGTCTACGGCAGAGGACAAGGGGATGCTGACTGCAGGAAGACCCTCCCCAAGTTGTCTATGACCTTCAGGCTCCAAGTGAATATAGGGACAAACCCCAAGTTCCCTGATCCCCGCTCCCATGGCAGAGATGGGGTCAGGCCACAGATGTCCCTCCATGGGGGTGGCTCTAAAGAACAGAAAGTAATTTTCTTATAGTTCTGATACCTCTTCTTGTCCACAATCTTGGGTGTCCCTTGGTTCTCAGGCTTGTAGATGATCTTCAGTGACATGGCCCCCACCCCTCTCAGCCCCTGAGTGTATCTGTATCAAATCTCTTTTCATCACTCAGAAGTAATTAAGTTCAGAGCCCACCCTACTCACGAAGGATGGAATGAACCTAACAAAGACCCTGTTTCCAAACAGGATGACACCCACCTGCTGGGATGGGGCGAGGACACAGCGAGGACAAGGACAGTTCAGTCTGCAACAGCATCTTAAGACAGAAGCAACTTCCCAAAACACAGCCTTTTCCTCTGAGGAAGAACAGCCTTGCAGGTGTTTCTAGGGGCCCAGTTTGGGGAGGAATGTGGGGCCTGTGGACTCATGCTCAGCCCCCTTGCAGGGGAGCCAGTATGAACTGGAGTTTGTGGTCAGTGGTGTTGTGTCTGGCTCCATGGGAAGGTGGGAACCCAGCCAGTGGGAACCAGGTGGCACGGGGCAGGCATGCATCAAAGGCATCTGAACGCTGTGATCAGGGCCGGTGGCCTGGGAAGAACACAGTCCTCCCCCCAGGGCTCTCGGCTTGGCTGGTTAGGTTCTAAAGGAGCTGTTCTGCCCGAGGCTGTCATAGTGATAGTGTGCCCTATAATGTTGGCTTGAGTGCTGCTTGGATGCTGGAAGCTACCGGCATTTCAAATACCAACAGGGTCACTATGGTGGACTGATTTTCTGCTTCCAGAGTAAGATAGATTAGGAAGAAATGCTTTCTAAAAATCAGCCACTGAAACCCCTGTGGATACTACTATCCCATGAAGTCAGCTTTAAACCAAACCCGAAATACCAATCTCAGTGCTACTGAGTCCATTTTGACCCAGTGACCCTGTAGAAGGGAGAGCGTAGAAGTGGCTTCCAAGGCTGTAAATCTTCACAGAAGCAGAATGCCACATGGTTCTTCCAGAACAGCTGGTGAGATTTTGGTTAGCAGCTAACCACTTTCGCTACACTGCCGTGAATCATGTTGCTTCTGACTGAACTGCCCTCCATAGGTCTCCACTGCTGTCAGTCCTATGGAAGCCGAAAGTCTCAGCGTTCCTCCAAAGGATAGCCGGTGGGTTCGAACTGCTGACCTTTTGGTTAGAAGTCCAATGCTTACCCTACAGTGCCACCAGGGCTTGTTAAACCAAACAAGTTTAACTTAATTAGAAAAGACACCTGCCTTGAGCAGTGTGTTCTTTTTAAAGAATCCTCTCTGAGATCAAAGTGACCACAGCGAATGTAAAGGTGACAGAGAAGCTTTGGGGACAGTGAGTTGGTGCTGCTGCCCGTAAGCATTTTAGGAAAGGACGCAGAGAAGAGGTGGCACCAACTGAAGACTGTGACCACCGATGTCACCAAATCGCGCTCGTGGAAACTGGTGAACTGACGGGTGTTCTGTGAAATCAAACAGACGTATTGCAACAGGCAAATCTGCTATATAAGACCTCTTTAAAGTGTTCAAGAGCAAAGACGTCAGTTTAGGGACTAAGGTGAGCCTGACCCAAGCCATAGTAATTCAGTAACCTCATCTGCATGTGAAAGGTGGACAAAGAACACGGGAAGACCATAGAAGTACTGATGCATTTGAGTTACGGTGTTGGGAGATGAATACTGAAAGTACCGTGGACAGTCAGAAAAACAAACACATTGGAACTGGAAGAAGTAAACTCAGAGTGCTCCTGAGAAGCCCAGGTGGAGAGACTTCGTGTCTCATACTTGTGACATATTATCAGGAGGGACCAGTCCCTGGAGAAGGATATTATGCCTGGTAAAGTGGAGGGTCAGCAGAAAAAGCGAAGACCCCCGATGAGATGGACAGACATAGTGGCAGCAACAATGGGCTCAAACAGAACACACATTATGAGAATGGTGTCAGACCAGGCAGTGTTTGGTTCTGTTGTGTAAACGGTCATTATGAGTTAGGATCTAACTCATGGATCACAGTAGAGTATTGTGCACTGGTGGTGGCTGTGTGCCGTGGAGTCGGTTCCGACTCATAGCGATCCTGTTCAGGGTTTCCAAGGCTGTAAATCTTTACGGGAGCAGAACGTCTCCTCTTTCTCCCGCGGAACAGCTGGTAGTTTCGAACTGCTGACCTTGCGGTTCGCAGCCCGATTCGTAGCCACTACCAGAGCTCCTTTTGTGTACTAGAGTGCTGGAAGGTGAGCTCCCAACACAACAGCTGTAACGATGAAGGAGAGGGTACCAACAATTGTGAAGGTGGGGCGGGGTACGGCGGTGTTTCTCTTGTACACACGGTTCCTGAGTCAGCTGACTGGACAGCAGTAGCAACAGGCGCCTTCCCCATGTTCTCTGTGCTGCCGTGTGTGGTGGGATGCTTGGGGTGGGATCCAGAATGGGCCATGAGTCAGTGCAGTCACCGTTCTGAACCACGTGAGCGTTCTCCATGCACTTTCTAGGACAGAAAGTCTTAAACCCCTCAGCCTGGGCTCCCTGGATGGGCTTGGTGGCTGGAAGAGGTTGGGTTGTGACACCCCACAACGTGACCTTCTGTAGCAGCCCCTCACCGCCAGTCCTGGGGAGAGAATCCACAGCTTTGATTTTCACTAAGGTTCATGGCTGTTTTGGGTTGAATTGTGTCTTCCAATTCCATTACGTTCTAACATGAAGTTCCCCCTGGTCCCAGTGAATGTGACCCGGAAGTAGGGTCTTTGCAGGTATCATCAGTTCACAGGAGGCCGTAATGCACAATGGAAGGCCCTGACCCAACAGGACTGGTGTCTTCACAGAGAAGTGACACTGAGAGGAGATGGAGGAGAGACTGGAGTGATGTGTTGACAAGTCAGGGGATGCCAACAGTTTCCAGGAACCACCATAAACTAGGAAAAGGCAAGGATGGATCCCCCCCTGGAGCATTCAGAGAATGTATGACCCCACCGACAGCTTGGCTGTGGTGTTGGTGAGGAATACTGAAGATAGATGGACTACCAGAACACACAGATTTGCCATGGAAGAAGTACAGCCAGAATGAGCCTTAGAAGGAAGAATGGCAGACTTGGTCTCACATAGTTTGAACATGTTATCGTAAGGGACCAGTTTCTGCAGAAGGAAGGACATCGTGTTTGGTAAGGTAGCGGTTGTTCTTAGGTGCTTCCCAATCGGTTCTGATTCTCATTGATTTCCTACTTTCACATTTCAATCACCAGTAATTACCATTGCCTCCGGATTGCATGTTTGATCAATATCAGCAGTTGGTAGGATCCTTCAATGTCATCATCACTGGCTTTAGGTGCTGATGCATAGATGTGAGGAATAGTGGTACAAACTGATCTTCCTTGTAGGCATGTGGATATTATCATATCACACACAGCATCGAACTTCAAGATACAGCATAAAATACTCATTTTGATGGTGAATGAGACACACCATTGCTCTTCAATTTGTCATTTCTGGCATAGTAAACCACATGATTTACTGATTCAAATAGTCCAATACCAGTCCATTTCAACTCACTAGTTCCTAGGAAGAATCGTGGTGACTTCGTACATTAAGTACTGGACTGTGAACCACAAGGTCCACAGTTTGAGTCCACCAGCCGCTCCGCAGGAGAAAGATGAGGCTTTCTGCTCCCTCCAAGATTTAAAGCCTTGGAAACCCTGTGCAGGGTTGCTACGAGTCCAGCACTTAACAACATGCCTAGGATGGCAGTCTTGATGCATTCCATTTCATTTGGGGCCACTTCCAACTTTCCTAGATTCATACTGTGTACATTCCATGTTCCCATTGTTAGTGGATATTTTCAGTTGTTTCTTCTCATTTTGCGTGGTGTCCCACCCACAAAGGAAGGTCCTGAAAGCATTGCTCCATTCCCATAGTTAAGGTCAACTCTACTTAGGCTCTTCCCCTATTGTACTTTAAGTGCGGTGTCACCTTCAAGCAGTGTAGGTGACTGTTTTGATGCTATTCATAAGGCTTTCTGTGGTGAACTTTACTGGTAAGAGGGTCAGAGAAGAAGAGCAAGACTCTTCATGAGATGGCCCAGTGGGCTCAAATACAGCAAAGGTTGTGAGGAGGGCACAGGTCCCAGCAGTGTTTTGTTGTTATATGTGGGGTTGCTCACTATGAGATGGAACCAACTCGATGGTGCCTAACGACAACAAAACATGAGACCATCCGTATCTGTGGTGTGAAGCCCCCACTTTGTAGTCCTTTGTTACAGCAGGTCTGGGAGACTAAGACCCTTCTGTACCAAGACGCAGTGTGATCTGCCCTTGAACTAGGGCCAGGGTGGGGCCGGGTTAGGCAGTTTGGTGGTTCTGCCTCCAAACCACATTAGAGGTCCCTGAAGATCCTAATCTCACCATCAGCATCTGGATCAGGGGACAGGTAGGCAGGGCTTGCCTCTTGTCTTCTTCATAACACAGGGAAGCACGTTTTAGAGCAGCTTTCAAATCCAGAGGGCATCCCTGCATGGCTCTTCCTTAGACGTCCTCCCGACACATAGGGGTCTGTACACGCTGATGTCTTCATCTAAGACACTAAAAAGCCAGTGCTGAAAGAGGCAGTGGCGCCGATATTCAGCATCTGCTCGTGGCTTCCTTCAACAAATACACCCACCGCTTGTGGCACATCTCCACGACCAGTCGGACCTGGGGGTCTGTCACCCATGAAGTGGTTCCATCAGGTGGGTCGACCCTGACTCACACTAACCCCAGGAGTGTCAGAGAACTGTGCGCCACAGGGTTTTCTTTCTCTGTTGTTGAGACTACACAGAGCAGAACATGGGTTACACGTTGGGCTGATAACCACAGGGTCAGCGGTTCAAACCTACCAGCAGCTCAGAGGAAGAAAGATGAGGCTTTCTGCTCCTGTAAAAATGCACAGCCTCAGAAACCTATACAGGGTCGCTGTTAGTCAGAACTGACTCATCAGCACTTAACAACAACAACATCAAAGTGGACAGTCAGTGAAAAAGAGGAAGACCTCCAACAGTGGGATCAAACAGAACAACTGTGTGGATGGAGGACTGTGCGGTGTTTCGGTCTGTCATACGTGGGTCGCTATGAGTCGGCATTGACGCGATGGCACCTAACCACGACATGCATAAGTCGGTGACCCCGATCAGAGCTGTACAACCATCTTCTCCTCCTTCTGAGCTGTCCCCCCCCACATTACAATAAATTCACGGCTCCCAAAGTTTCCCATCTAATCTTCCCAGTTGCTGGTGTCAGCTTGGAACCTTATATACAGATACTCTTTAGTAGCTTGGCTAAATAATTGTTTGACTTCAAGAAGATATCAAGGGATCTTTTTGGTTTAAGATTTAAAATGTATCTCAGGGCAGTAATTCAGGGGGTTCATCCAGCCTCCATGGCTCCAGAAAGTCCAGAATCCATGAGAATTTTACATTCTGTTCTACATCCCCCCTCTTTTGACTAGAACCTTCAGTCACAAAGCTCGGCAATGACAGCTGGGCACCATCCGGCTCCTAGGGTTCAGGGCAGATGCTCCATAGGGTTTTTCAATGGTGATTTTCAGAAACACATCACCAGGACTGTCTTTTGAGGTACCTCTGAGAGGACTTGAACTGCCAACCTTTTGGTCTGCAGCTGTGTGTGCACCATCCCAGGGACTCCATGGGACTCTTACCTTCTGCAAAATATCCAGAAGCAGTTGAGGCTCTGACGAATCCCTTAACTTCTCTTCTAAGCTCTATTCGTGGGACAGTTTATGAGAGGAAGAGGGAGACATAAAAAAAAGGGAGAGGGATGTCAAAGTGTCTCACAGGCATATTGGCAAGGTGCTAATTGTCCCTCCCCAGGGATGAGAGCCAATCAGAAGTGGAAGCTGCACGTTGGGCCTGGTTGTGTTAAAGGAGGCATCTTTTATTCAGATTCCTTGCTCACCTGCCCCCTGGCTCACATATCGGCTACGCTGATGAACTGTTGGCCGGGAAGCTTGCTGCAGCCCTGACCTCAGAGAATTGGCAAATGCCAGGCCAGGTGACTCCATCCTCTTACAGGGGACCTGAGCCCAGCAGCTTGCCCTGGCTCCAGAGCCTGGCACATGGGTGACACCGGCTACGCCACTTCATTTCCCCAGCGACTTCATGGGACAGAGTAGAACTGCCCCACTGGGTTTGCTTGGCTATAAATCTTTACACTGGTTGGATTCAAACCTCCAACCTGTTGGTTGGCAGCTCTGTGCTTAAATGCTGTGCCACCAGGGCTCTGTGCTCTCAGAGACCCCCTCTCCCGGCCCTCATCTGATGTCATCCCTGCCCCCTCCCGCCACACTGGCCTGCTGGTCTTTCCTGCACACCACAGGCCCTTTGCACATACTGTTCCCCAGGATGGGCTGCTCCCATGCTGTGTTTTGGGGTAGGCCTTCCTTGACTCCCCCACTTTGGTGAGTCTTTCCTCCCTCCTCTCTAATAACTGCTTCATTTTACAGCTCCCTGCTGCATGAACTTTACAGCCACTGCCATCACCTGACTTACTTCATGGGTTTATCCTGGCTCTTCCAAGCATTCAGCCCCTTTTCTGGAAGGTAAGTGGCTGAGTACTGGCCTGTAGGAGGCCTGAGTGGGTGCTTTCATGTACACATAACCCTGACAAGAGCTGCAAGGTACAGAGCATGATTTCGTCTCCACTTTACCAAGTAGCAAACAGAGATGCAGCCACTTGCCCAAGGTCACACAGCCACACGTGATAGGGCCAAAAGGCCAGCACAGGCAGCTGCTTCGTGTGAGCTCCAACCCCAACCCCGCTTCCTTCCTATCAAACACGAAGCACAGTAAGAATGCCTATACAACAGGGAAAGGCAGTGAGACTTCGTCTCATGTACTTTGGACATATTACCAAGAGGGACCAATCCCAGGAGAAGGACACCATACTTGGAAAAAGATGAAGATGCTCAGTGAGATGGCCTGACACAGTGGTAGCAACAATGGGCTTGCACATAGCAACCACCATGAGGATGGCATGGGGCTGAGCAGTGGTTTATTCTGTGGTACACGGGGTGGCCATGAGTCAGAACCAGCTAGAAGGCACCTGTTATATGCCGGGGAGTCGGTTCCAACTCATAGTGACCCTGCACAAAGTTTCCGAGGCTGTAAATCTTTATGGGGGCAGAAAGCCTCATCTTTCTCCCGAGGAACAGCTGGTAGTTTTGAACTGCTGACCTTGCGGTTCTCAGCCCGATTCGTAGCCACTACGCTACCAGAGCTCCTTTTGTATTATATATTTGTCGTTGTTAACTGGTGTAGAGTCGGTTCTGACCCATAGCCACCCTGTACAGAGTTTCTGAGGCTGTAAATCTTTACGGGAGCAGAACGCCTCATCTTTCTTCCGTGGAACAGCTGGCAGTTTCGAACTGCTGACCGTGAAAATAGCAGTCCGATTCGTAACCACTACGCTACCAGAGCTCCTTAGAAGGCACCTAACAACACATAATTGGATGTGAGGGATAAGAATGAGCTAGCATTCAGCATGTGGTTCTCTGCATATAGAAATCATTCATAGTCCATATTCACAGGGACCCATGGATGCTACTATAAGAGCCACATTTTGGTTTTTAGAAAGTACAGAGTCCTTATGACGGAACTAATGTCTTAGAAGGTCAAATATTCTCATTGTTGAAATGACACAAATAACTAAACATCATCCTGCAAGGTGGTCCCAAGGGAAGGAAGGAGAGGAGGAGGATTATATACAGGCAGACCTTGGAGGTCATTCGGTTGGGTACCAGACCACCTTAGTAACTTTAAGAGTGCAACAAACGGAGTCACATGAATGGGTCTCCCAGGGCCTAGAAGAGTGATGTTAACCCTGGACTACTCTACGATGTGTGCAGCACCATGATGGCGTGTGAAATCTTGTGAGAAGGACTAGTAGGGGCACATGCTGTTGGGAAAATGGCAAACCACAGACTTGCTCAATCCAGGGCTGCTACCAACCGTGTTCTCAACAAATGCCGTATCTGCAAAGCACAGTAAAACGAAGTCTGGCAGGCAGATCAACATGGGACCGCTAACTGCAAGGTCAGTGGTTCAAACCCACCAGCAGCTCCTCGGAAACTCTATACAGAGCTGCTATTGAACAGCAGTATCAAGTACTCAAATGGTTCTGGGCAGCTCGCTTCAGCACACCAATGATAAAAGGAGGTGCTGTCCAGTAGGGTCCTCTGTCTGGACAGCAGGACCCCACTGCTGGGAGTCTCCCCTCTGGCCCCTAACACTTTTGTACCCTGGCTGCTTTTTGGTGACGGGGTATACCAGCTTTGGATACCCTCTGGGGTGGTTCGACTTTATCCTGTGAGGTCGCTGGGGTTGGAGCTGGGTCACCAGCCACCAGAGGTAAAGTTAGGATCCTGAAGCCGCCTCTCAGGCGACTGAATCCTTTACTTATCTTCCAGCTAACACGGAGGCCGGAGCCAGGCCCAGGCCACTCAGCAGCTGTTCCCAAAAATCCGGAAGCCAAGTGGCTAAAAAAACAACTCGGGAAAAAGGCCGTGAACACCCCAAAACTCCAGAAGCTGGGTGTCGCCGGGAGAGTCCCACATTCCATCAATCCCTGGGCCTCCTTCGGGGAAGCAAAGTGGGGGCCTCCAAGAGTTCGGTTCCGGGGCCAGTTCCCCTCCAGGAAGGGCAGGATCCCGGGGCCCAGGTGAGGGGGATCGACGCCTCTTCCGGAAGAAGGCAGGATCAGGGACCCAGAGCGAAGACGGGCCAGTTTGCTGTACACCCAGCCTCACAGAGGCTCCTAGGATCAGCCCAGGACAAGCACCGGGCTCGTGTGTTCCTGAACCCCGAGGGCGGGGAGGCCGGACCCAGCTCACGTGGCAGGCGGACCCGGAATACTTGAAGTTGGCCACCGAGACATCCCCCCACCCGCGGGCCCGCGCCCCGCAGCCCACCTGCCAAGGGAAGGAACGCAGCGCGCGCGCAGCCAGGAAGCGGCGCTCGAAGCTCTGTAGGAGGGGCTCGACCCGCACGCTCTCCTCCAGCGCCATGAAGAGGCGGGGCCAGCCGACGTTGCCCGGGAGACGGAGTCCAAGGGAGGCCTGCGCCGAGAGGAGGAGGGCCTAGGGGCGGGGCTGAGGCGGGACTTGGACACGGGAGGCAGGGCTGACGTGCTTAGGCCCTGGAAGGCGGTGCTTGGGATAGGAAGGCGGTGCTTGGGACCAGAAGGCGGGACTTGAAGTAGGAAGGCGGGACAAGGAAACGGAAGGCGGTGCTTGAGGCCAGAAGGCGGGATTTAGGACTGGAAGGCTGGATGTGAGTCCAGCATGCAGTACTTGAGGTCAGAAGGCGGACCTTGAGACGGAAAGGAGGTGCTTCAAGCCAGAAGGTGGTGCTTTAGACCGGAAGGCGGTGCTTGAAGCCCGAAGGCGGTCCTTGAAGCCCGAAGGTGGTGCTTGAGGCCGCAAGGCGGGACTTGAGGCTGGAAGGCGGGACTGCCTGGCCTCCTGCACTTCACTGGGGCCTTGGCTGGAGTCTGTCTCATTTTATGCACGTGTACAGGAAGTCCTATGGAGTTTTGGTAGCGTAATGGTTACTAAAATGGGCTGCTAATCTCAAGGTCTGCAGATCGAAACTATCAGCCGTTCCGCGGGAGAAAGATGAGGCTTTCTGTTCCCATAAAGATTTACAGCCTCGGAAACCATATACAGGGTCGCTGTGGGTCGGAACCGATTCAATGGCACTTAACAACAACGGGAAGTCCTAAGTCAACCCGGACCTCTTCTCAACGCCGCCTTCCTGAGAGTCGTGGCGAGGGAGCATGACAGCCCTCTGTGTCCGCGGACGCCGTGTGGGTCAGGCCGCTGCTGTCCTTTCGGCCCTTGGAGAAGCGTGTGAAGGTAGAGGACACGCAGACCTGCTTTGCTGCCCTGGGGCTCGTGCGGGGGAAAGCTGTTAGTTGTTGTTGACCGGACTCCGGGTGACCCCATAGGGCTTTCGAGACAGACTTCCGGAAGTCTGTCTTCGGAGGCAGCTCTGGGTGAGTTCAAACCACCAGCCTTTCGGCTAGCCCCATTCCCCACTGAACTGACATCACCCAAAACGGTGTCTGACCTGAGGGCTTACGGGAAGACATTTAGTGTTTGCAGGAAAGAAACCTGCAAAAATGTGGGGTAGGAGCTGGTACCATCGGGGACATAGTGTGCGTGTGGCCAGGTCGACCGCGGGGGCATCACGGGTTCGCTTCCAGGGCGCCGCAATCAAGAGAGTCACATGCTTTTTTAGTCTATTAAGTGTGGCTAGACTTATAGCATATATTAAGTGTGGGATAGTATGTTGAAGGAATCAACATTGAGCACACCTGTGGTACAAGAGCTCATTCAAGTGTCCAGGATCAGAGATACCAGTGTGAGAACTAAGGCGCACCTGACCCAAGCCATGGTGTTTTCAGTAACCTCATATGCAAGCAAAGACAAGGAAGACCGTAGAAAAATTGATGCATTTGAGTTACAGTGTTGGAGGAGAACATTGAAAGTACCATGGACTGCCAGAAGAACAAATAGATCTGTTTTGGAAGAAATACAGCCAGAGTGCTTGTTGGAGACCAGGATGGCCAGATTTCACCTCTCACACTTCGGACGTATGGTCAGGAGGGACCAGTCACTGGAGAAGGAGATTGCTGGTGAAGTGGAGGGTCTGAGATTGGCACAGTGGCCAACAGTAATAGATGTAACAATTGTGATCATGGTGCAGGGCCAGGCAGGGTTTTGTTCTGTTGTGCAGAGGGTCGCTATGAGTTGAAGTCAAGTCGATGGCACATAACAGCAGGATGAAAAATTTGAAATCTATGAGAATCACTAATGTGAGACACAAAACATTCAATATATGTGTGTATATGTAATCCACAAAGTGCAATAAAATGAGGTCGGCCTTTATACAGAGGTGGGACGGGGAGAGTTAGGGAGAAGAAACTCTTTCCAGTCCTACATTATTGTGTCTCCATTGGAAGTCAGTAGTTAGTGACCCACCAGTATGCCCATGGAATAAGAACTGTGTTCAAAGTCTGAAATGTTTGCCTTAACAAATCTTTCATAAACCTCCATGTGGAAGAGCTCTAGGAGCTAATTTGTTAAATAAATATACTTGTAGGCTGTAGATGAGACAGGTAAAATCTTTTAACCACTTTCACATGAGTATCACTTAGACCCAGCTTAGCTATGATGATGAGAGAGAGGTAAATTCGTTCTAAGGAGTGCAACTGCTGTTCTTACACTATACTGAGTGAGCCCAGGACATCACCCCCGACCTTGCCCAAATGATGTGTCTTTTACTTTCTGAACTGTGACTTAAATAAATGTAAGTATGTTGGCCATTGCAGTGAATTATCAAACTCAGCTTGAATAGAGAGTGTGTGGAGGGATTGTTGATAACACTTGTGCAGGCATCGTTAAATAAATTGTTAAACTTTAATTAAATTACAGTATTAAACTATTTCAATCAGTGGCAAATACATTTAAATAACATTAACCGTGGCTGGAATTTTACATGGAATCAATGGTTGTACAAATTCTCTTCGTTACAGTATTCTGAGACATCATCACTGAGGCTAGACAAGTCACCTCAGCCCGGGCAAGTCATAGCGGTGAAGGACTGCTGGCTTCAGAACTGCGTCTTAGCCGCTGGTGTGCTTGGGCTGTTCTGATTCGCTTTCTGCCTGTGGTAGACAATGGGAACGGGTTACTTAATTCATGACGGTAGGACTTACTCTTTTAATACACAGGATCCTGATGAGAGGAGCTGCTGCGGAGTTAATCCGTAAGCACACAGAATTTATGAAAACCAAAAATGAAACCATTCCCCATTCTACATCACCCTAATGATCTCTGATAGGTTCAAGGTGTTACTGTTATGGCTACTGGCGCAAGTAATCTCACCAGCAGTCCACCTTGCCTTTGCTGGTCCTCTGATTCACCAAACGTGATGTTCGCCTCCACTGACTGAGCCCTCCTGAGAAGCTGGACAATGTTCAGTTGTGATGCATAGGATTTTCATCGACTCGTTTCCAGAAGTTCAAACCTACCAGTGGATACTCAGGAGAAAGATGAGGCAGTCTGCTTCTGTAACTACTTACAGCCTTGGAAACTCTAGGGAGCACGTCTACTGTGTCGGATTTACTATGCCTTGGAATTGTAATAGATTGTCAAAGCTTCCTTCCTTGTCTTAGTGTAGAAGTTTCGCTGAAACCTGTCCACCGTGAGTGACCCTGCTGTCCACCGAGACCTGTCCACCGTGAGTGACTATTTGAAATACCTGTGACATGGCTTCTGAAACCATAGCAACATGCGATACACTACAGTACAGCACGCTGACAGATGAGTGAGTGGTGGAGTAACACACATACCATAAAAACCAATACCAAAAAAAAAACCCCAAAACAAATGAAAAGAAAACACCAATAGCATTGTGCCAGTTCTGCCACACAGCAACCCTACAGGACAAGGTAGAACTGCCCTGAGTGTTTCCCAGACGAGTTTTTTATGGAAGCAGATTAGCAAATCTTTCTCCCATGGAGCAGTTGGTGGATTGAACTGCCAGCCTTTTGGCTAATAGGCAAACACTCAACCACCAAGCCACCAGGATTCCGTAGTAACACACACAAGAGCTATTCATTCGTTACATTTCTGGGGAGCAAAAGGACTTGTACAATCAATGCCTGAGTAGATAATATACACAGGGGCTTCAAAACCTGTGTGGGGAAAATGCCATTATCTTTCAATTAGATTTTTCCACAAAGTTTTTGAAGCCCCATTGGAAATGATGTTATGCTAGGACATTAATACATCTTGGCTGGTCTGGCTTTCCCTGGTGCTGGAGATGGGCTCTGGATTGAGGAAGGCTCCCGTGTGGGCCATGGGACTTCCCTGCACACACAGAAGAGAACCTTGTGTGTACTTTCCCAGGCAGGGCAAAGCGATATATATCTCAGACCTCAGTCTTGGAATGATCAAGGCACGAGCAGGGTTTTGATGGTCTGCAGACCTCACAGGTCTGATGTGTTCAGGCAGAAATGGAAATTGGACCTATGTCTTAAAACCAGGGCTTTGAACAACTTCTCCCCAATAGAGTCACAGCGTATGAAACAACTGGAATGGACCCAAATTTGTAAAATATAGGTGAGCCCGAATGGTAACCACAATGGGGAAAGTGGCATATCAGTACCTTGATAGGAACTTAATCTTCCTCTTAGAAAACAGGGCAATGTGTGCATTGTATAGCAACCAGATATCTTTCCCAGCAGAGTTGGAAACAACGGTGCCCGGCTCAAATATGGTGGCCAAGCACAGTAACTCTGAGTGTGTACCGTTCTCCACAGTCTTCCATATCAGGCCTCGGAAGGGCTTACTGTGCCTCTGCTGAGTCTACCACTCAAAGCCTTTGACAGGCAATTTTTCCTATTCCAGTGTTTGTTCTGCTTCATGTTAACTTTCAAAATTCGGGTCTGTTCTGAATTTCCTTTTGTTGGTTAAGACTGAACCGGTTCAAATCCTTGCTTATAACAAAAAGCAACGATCCCAGGTGGCGGTGCTAGAGCAGCACAGGGCATCATCTGAGGGCCCCAAGAAGTGCATGTGTGTATGTGTGTGTGTGTGTGCATGCGTGCGTGCTATATTAAAGACTTAGCTTCCAGGTTTGAGATTTGAGATTTTCCTTAACAACAATAAATAAAAAATAAAAACCTTCTACATCCTAGCTGTGCAGCATGGCTACCTTTTTGGAAATGATGCTTTAGGCGTGATGGTTGACTTACTAAATGGAAATTGCCCCCTTTTCTCTCCTGTAGCTAATAGCTTCTGTGAAAAAGGACCCATTGATTTCTTTCTAAAATGTTGCTTCAGGGTGTAGAGAACGTTATAGGTCATGTTTCAACTAATAGAGTACTTTTATAGTTCAAGTATAAATTACACTAAATGTGGCTTTTGCAGTGGCATTTGAAGTTAAGTCAAGCTCCAGGTTTCTTTGGGCTGTTTTTAGCATCCAGAAGGCCCCTGTATAACCACACCAGCTATGCTCAAGTAGAAGGTGCATCGTGGTTACGAGTCAGGTTGCTAACCTCAAGGTCAGCAGTCTGAATCTTCCAGCCATTCCACAGGACAAAGATGAGACTTTCTGCTTCCATAAAGATTTAAGCCTTGGAAACCCTAAACGGGGTTGCTATGAGCCGGAACCAACTCCACGGCACAAAACCACCATCATCATGTTCAAGTAGAAGAATGGCCAAGGTTGGGCATTGCTGGGAAGATGAAACTCAGACTAATAAGGACCACTACTGAGGTGTACAGAGAGGTATACCACTGGTTGGTGGGAGAACCAGCTCCATAATTTGTGGGGCCCAGTACAAAAAGAAAACCGGAGGCCCCCAGCTCACAGATGAGGCATTTTAAATCAGTGACAGTAGGTTACTTAACCAGTTAGTGGAGGGGGTGGGGCATCTGAGTGTGGGACCTCATGGTGATGGAATGGGCTAGCCCTGGCTGCTGGATTCTACAAGGATTAGACTCTACCCCCCAGGGCAGGAAGTGGTTGAAATGTATTCCTACAGATCCGTGGGAGAAGGCGATAACAGCCTAGCTCCACAAAGACTGACAACCTTGGAGACCCTGTGTGTCCTGTCCTGCCCTGTCTGGTCACTATGAATAGGAATGACCTCGTGGCAGTGGGCTGGTTCTGGTTTGGTGTGGTGCTGATCAACCACTTAAACAAAATCTCCCAGGTGTGACAGGGTAGAATGGCTCTAGAGGGGCTTCTTGGCTGCCGTCTTTCCGGAAGTGAACTGCCAGACCTTCCTTCTGCAGGGTTACCAGGTAGGTTCGTAACCCTGACTTTAGTCATCCAGCAGCAAACTGTTTTCACCACCTTTGCTCAACCCCAGGAGACCCAAAGCCCACTCACTTCTTTTTGCGCCGGATGCTTGTGCTTGTCACAATGGACACAAACAGAACAAAGATCACGCCGGTGGCAACTCCGAGACCAATCCCCACATTTCGGAGCATGGATGCGTTCCTTGTCTCCTGTCCTGTTAAAAGCCAAAAGGTTTTTAATTGTCAGATTATTAAGAGGCTGTTCTGGAGGCTCATGGATCCCTGGACAGTTCCCCATCCAGGCGCCAGTGACTATTAATTATGGAAATGAAATGTACATTTAACCACAGGAAGTGTCCACTGTAGTGCACTCTTGTCGGGCAAGTCATTGGAAGCCAATTTACTCAATGACCTGTTCGCCAGATGACCCATTTGCCTAATAGCCAATTTGCCAAATGACCCATTTGCAGAAAGCCAGTTCACTGGAAATCAGTCTGTGGAATGTTTTGCTTCTCAGTAGCTGACAAACATTTCACTCCAGGTTCCAAAAGGACACGGAGTGTGGATAGGGGAAAACAGCTGTAGCAGAACTCTAAAACTTAAAAAAAAAAAGACCCAAACACCCCAAATCTCAGCCATTTGGGGAATTAGCCATTCAGTTCATTCATTTTTGGCACAACAGCTTGATTTCTGTAAGTTCTCAAGATGAGACTGCAACTCGTTGTTAACTGCTGCTGCCACCTGGCTCCTTAACTCACAGGGACCCGGTGCCTGATGGGAGTGGACTGTTGTACCCCAGGGTTTTCCTGGGCTACTTTTTTGGAAATTAATTGCCAGGTCTTTCTTCCTAGGCTGGAAGCTCTGCTACAGCCTGTTTAGCCTCACAGCACCACACAAGCCTCCACGGACAGATGGCTGGTGGCTGCGATTGAAATGCCTGGCCAGAAATCGAACCCAGGTCTCCTGCAGGGAAGGAGAGAATTCTACCACTGACCCATCACTGCCCTTGGCAGTGGGTTAGAAGAAGGAAGAGGGTGTCCTTTCACCTCTTTGGGTGACAGACTCTGTCACTAGGCAGGATATTTATAGTGCCTCTCAACGACATATTGCATTAGGCAAATCTGCTGCACAAGACCTTTTTAAAGTGTTGAAGAGCAAAGATGTCAGCTTGAGGACTAAGGTGCGCCTGACCCAAGTCATGGTATTTTCAATAACCTCACATGCATGTGAAAGCTGGACAGTGAATAAGGAAGACTGTAGAAGAATTGATGCTTTTGAGTTATGGTGTTGGAGGAGAATATTGAAAGTGCCATGGGCTGTCAAAAGAACCAACAGATCTGTGTTGGAAGAAGTGCAGCCAGAGTGCTTCTTGGAGGCCAGGATGGCCAAACTTTGTCTCTCATACTTCAGACATACTGTCAGGAGGGACCAGTTGCTGGAGAAGGATATCATGTTTGGTAAGGTGGAAGGTCAGAGAAAAAGAGGAAGACCCCCCCCCCCCCCCCAACAAGATGGATTGGCCAAGTGGCAGCATCTATGGACTCACACGTGGCAATAATTGTGAGGTTGGCCCAGGATCGGGCAGTGTTTCGTTCTGCTGTGCATAGGGTCGCTATGAGTCAGTACTGACTCGATGGCACCTAACAACAAACAACTCCTGCCGAAGAGAAGATGGCCTGTGTTTTGTAAGACAGGTAGGTAGGTGGATGGATGGATGATTGGTAGGTGGATAGATTTGATAGGTGGTGATGGTGATTGTTATAACAACCCTGAGTAGGTTTCTGAGGCTGTAAATCTTTGCTGGAGTAGACAGCCTGTGGAGTGACTGGTGGGCCTGAAGCACAATACTGTGGTTAGCATTCCAGTACTTATCCTATGTCCTCTAGATTACAGAGGGAGGGAGGGAGATAGATTAGATAGGTGGATACATAAATTGAACAGGTAGGTAGGTAGGTAGACCAGTAGGTAGGTAGATTGGATAGATAGGTAAGTAGATAGATTAGGTAAGTAGGGAGGTAGATAAATTGCATTAGACAGGGAGGGAGGGAGGTACATAAGATAGATAGGGAGGTAGATTGGATAGATAGACAGGTAGGTAGATTGGATAGACAGGTAGTTAGGGAGTTAGATTAGACAGGTAAGTAGGTAGATTGGAGAAATAGGTAGTTAGGGAGTTCAGTGAGACAGGTAGGGAGGTAGATTGGATAGACAGGTAGGAAGTTAGATTACACAGATAGGGAGGTAGGTAGTTTGGATAGAGAGGTCAGGCAGATAGCTGGCTCATGGTGACCTCATTATATACAAGAGGGGAAGACATTTCCCCGTCCTGCACTAGCCTCCCAATGACAAGCATGTTTGAGTCCATTATTGCGGTAATTGTAACAGTTCATCTCACTGAGAGTCTCCCCAGCTCTTGCCAGCCCTTTACCTCACCAAACATGATGTCCTTCTCTAGCAACTGATCTTGCCTGAGGTGTCCAAAGTAAGCAAATGGAACCATATTCTGTTTTGATCCATAAGACTTTCATTGGCTGATATTCAGAAGCAGATTGCCGCCATCCTAATCTGTTTTAGTCTGGAAGCCCCTCACCATGGGTGAGCCTGCTGGTATAGGAATTACTGGTGGCATAGCTTCTAGCAGCCCACCAACAAGCCAGCCACCACATTGACAAATTGGCAAGACAACTAACCTACTACAGATGGTTGCTACTAGACCCCCAGAGATGAACCCATTCTTCATTTGTATGGTTCGTAGTGACTGGCCCAGCTCTAGGGATTGGAAATCTGAGGGAGAGACTTCACTGACAGAATGAATACCTCCCCCTTTTCTTCTTTGTTCAGCAATAAGTGAAATGAAGGATAAAGCTTTGCTAGTTGCACTGCACAGGCTTATCTTCGGTGTCCAGAAGGGCTGTGTTGGGGGTAGATTCCTTTCCAGATTTCCCGAGGCTTAGAGGGATTAGTGTCCAGCTTCCGTCCCCCTGCCCAGAAGGTGCCAGGTGAAACATCCCCAGCTGGCTCTTTCTGTTGAGTGCTCTTGTGCCCGTGCTCTGCGGGCGCCGAAGCTGCTAGAAGTGCAGCATTGTTGTGTTCGGCCTGGGGTTTAAGGCCCTCCCACCTCCCCGGAGATGACTTTCTCAGATCTTTTCTACCTTAGGAAAGACCAACCTATGCTGAAAGCTTTCTGGCAGCTGCTGTGGTGTCTCACCTGCCTGCTGGTCCCAATGATTCAGGAGCATATCCTGAGTGACCGCCAGTGAGCCGTTGTGCGGTTCGGGGGTGACCCCCAGCAGTCGGCACATCAGGGGGTAGATGTGAATACTGTCAAAGGGCTCTGCCAGGTAATTCTTTTTGAAATCAGGCCCAAAAGCTCTGAAGATGGTCTTCATGTCCATGAGAGCGTTGTCAAAGCCGTGATCCCCTTTGTTGAAATATATTATAAGTCGCTGGGAAAGAAGAAGTAGAAAGTGATTTTAGATGCTAGTCCCCTGAAAGAAAACTGTCTCTTGGTTAATGCCATGCTGCCGTAGTCCTGAAATCATTGAAACTGTGAACAATGGCAGAAAGACTAAACCCGGCTATCATGGAGCTGACTGATGCATGCTCTTTACTAAAGCACACAGCCAGGTCTTTCCCTCTCAGAGTAGTAGGTAGGTTTGAACTGCTGGCCTTTCAGTTAGCAGCCAAGGGCTTTAACCACTGCATCACCAGGACTCCTTGGGAGAAAGAATGGGAAAGAATCGAAGACCTGTAACAAACAAAATAATGAAAGCAAACCCACGAGAAATGGCAGGAAAATAATAATGACCATGACAATAACAATAAGCTAAAATACATGGTGCTTACTATGTACCAGGAATTGTCCTGGGTGCTTTACAAATATATATTAACTCCTCTGATCCTCACTGCAGCCCTGGGAGGGAGCAGTTATCACCACTCCCATTTTAAGGTTGAGGAATCTGGGGCCCAGACTTAAGGGATCTAGCCTGAGTCTATCCACCACTTGTCTGTCAGTTCATCATATTGTGGTGGCTTGTATGTTGCTGTGATTCTGGAAGCTATGCCACCAGTATTTTAAATACCAGCAGGGTCACCCATAGTGGAGAGATTCTAGCTGAGCTTTCAGACTAAGATACACTAGTAAGAAGGAGATACAGACTACTTGTCAATGTCTAGCCATTAGTGGAACATTGTCAGATAGCACCAAAATACTGAATATTGAAACATGAAGAGATACAGTCCTGGAAGATAAACACCTCAGGTTGGAAGGCACTCAAAATACTACAGGGGAAGAGCTGCCTCCTCAATGTAGAGCTGAATCTGGTGACAAGAATTGAGTCAAGCTTTCAGGACCTTCATTTACTGATGAAACACAACTCAAAATGAGTAAAGACAAACATCCATTAAGAATCAGAACACGGAATGTACAAAATATGAGTCTAGGAAATTTGAAAGTTTCTAACATGAAACAGAACACAGAAAGATCGATACCCTAGGAATTAGTGAGCTGATGGTGTTCATCAAAAAGAACATTTCAAGATCTATCTTGAAGTATAATACTGGCTGTGATACGATAATATCCACAAGCCTACAAAGAAGACTAGTCAATATCACTATTATTCAAACTTACACAGCAACCACAACAGCCAGCAAGGATGAAATTGAAGAATTCTACCAACTTCTTCAGTCTGAAATTGATCAAACATGAAATCAAGATGTGTTGATAATTACTGGTGATTGTAGTACAAAGGTTGGAAACAAAGAGAAAGGATCAGTAGTTGGAAAATGGGCCTTGGTGATAAAAACAGTGTCGGAGATCACATGATAGAATTTTGCAAGATCAATGACTTCTTCATTGCAAATACCTTTTTTAAACACCACAAAAGGCGACTATACACATGGATCTCACCAGATGGAATACAAAGAAATCAAATTGACTACATCCGTGGGAAGAGACGTTGGAAAAGCTGCATATCACCAGCCAAAACCAGGCCAGGGTCAGACTGTGGAACAGACTATCAATTGCTCATATGAGAGTTCAGGATGAAGCTAAAGAAAATTAAAACAATTCTATGAGCTCTGGTAGCGTAGTGGTTACGAATCGGGCTGCGAACCTTAGGGTCAGCGGTTCGAAACTACCAGCCGCTCCGCGGGAGAAAGATGAGGCTTTCTACTCCCGTAAAGATTTACACCCTCGGAAACCCTGTACAGGGTCGCTATGGGTCGGACCCGACTCGATGGCACTTAACAACAACAACAACAATGAAAGCCAAAATATATTGAACACATCCCACCTGAATTTAGAGATCATCTGAAGAACAGATTTGATGCATGAGACTGAAGACCACAAGAGTTGTGGGATGACATCAAGAGCATCACACAGTATGTACACAACCTTGGAACAACAATGTCCTGTATGTATGTACACACACACACACACACACACACACGTATATATCCCCCAAAGATATAAGAGTTTGAAAGAGGATATTTGTACATGGGTATTTACCTTTCCTGCAAACACAACTCTGAATGTGGTAGAGCCTACAGCAGGCAAGATGATGAAAACTTCTTAGATATTATCACACATCTTAAGGCAGTGAATGGCTGGGCCTGGGAGCTCAGGACTGTGGTTTCAGGGGACACTGTGGTCCATCGGCATAACACAGTACACAGTGACAGTGTTCTACATCCTACTTTGGTGAGTAGTATCTGGGATCTTGAAAGCTCATGAGTGGCCACCTAAGGTGCAGCTCTTGATCTTTCCATGGCAGAAGAAAGAAGAGTGTGAGAAGTGAAGATTCTTGGAACCAACCAGTCCAATGGACTGATAGAACACATGGACACCAATCTCCACGACTCGGAGACCAGAAGAACTAGATGGTGCCGGACTATCACTACCAACTGCTCTGAAAGGGATCACATTAGAGGGTCCTGGATACAGCGGGAGAAAATGTGGAGCAAAACTGAAACTTATGTGAAAAATAGAGAGAGAAAAAAAAGACCAGGTTTATTGGTCAGAAAGAGATTGGAGGAACCTAAGACTATGGCCCTCGACCAACCTTCAGCTCACAGCCCAATTTTCAGCAAAGCAGAAGATAGGTAAAGAGGGGGGACAACAACACCAGTATGGTATGCTTACCATAGAATGGTCAATCATTCAAAATCAAAAGGGCAACATTTTCCTAAGAACAAAGTTGAGAAGGGATGGAGGAAGGAGTTTTAACTGTCATGGAGGGGACTGCAATCATTGAGATGAAAAAAAGATACA